ATAAGCTGGAAGTTCTCCTTGATATGCTAATTGGGGAATTTGGGCCCGTCCATGCCCTGGAAACAACAGGTTGAAAATATTATCTCCTATAAGAGTTAAAATAAACCCATGGCGGACAGCTAGCTGTCAGAGGCTGTGGAGAGAGCTGAGCAGTGGGAATGAGCCTCCCATCCACCGCAGGCATGTTTCCCAACACTGAGCTGCTGCTTTTTCTGTCAGTGGCATCTGAGGAGTAGCAAGAATGGCTGAGATCAGCAGGGAAGAGGACAACCGTATTCTGAATCAGTCTTTCCCTCCCAGCTCCGGGAGCTTGGTAATCTGCTGCTTTCCTGGGATGGCTGATCCGTGATACGAGAACTTTAAGGCATGCCAGGATCTTAGGGGTCATTGTGGCCTCTCTCATTTTATAGGTGTGCTGCTTAGCTGCCACCCAGAGAAGGTAGTTACTTTCCTAGGGTTGTAGCAGAGCTGGGTCTAGGGAACCCCGCGGAAGCCGGGCCACAGCTGGCACGGATTCAGAGTTCTGCCGCCTGGCTCCCCGGGGGAAGTGGGCGGGCCAGTAAGAGGGAGGTGTGTGCCCATTCATAACATGGTCCAAGTGCAAGGCCCATTGTTTGAAACCCAAGGTCCTGATGCCCCAAGCTGAAACACTTTCCCTAGATGCTGTGGGTAGGACAGGTGGCTACCTTCTTGCTTCAAGCCGCCATCAAATGGGAGCCTGTTCCTTTTCCCAGAAATTTCCAGCCGAGTCTGCATTCAGGGTGAGGGCAGGGGAGATGCACCATTGCCATCTCCCATAGCACGCCCTTTTTTGGGACCTCCACACATCATTGTTTAATAAGCTATTTTGTGCTGGTGGCTCTGGGTCCCAAAGGAATCCCTGTCTGGACCCCTGTCCTCTCTTCCTCCTTTTTCCTGTTCTCATCTGTACTGGCCTGACTCAGGATCTGAGATACTTCCCCAGCTCCCCATCCCACTCTACGATGTTGTCCCTCCTTGCCTTCTGCCTCTCTTCCCTGATTCCAGGGGGGCACACAGTCTTTGCTCAGGTGTTTCCTTGCACCTGGAGTGACCTTTTCACATCCCTGCTACTTGGAACTCTTGTCTCAAATGCCACCTCCTTCAGGAAGCCTTCTGTGATCCTCTGTTAGAGATTAACATCTCCACTGGGCTCCCTTCCCACCCCCCATGAATGAGCAACTCAGGCCCATTTAGAACCTCTGACTGTGATATCATTGGAAGTAGGGTTTTTGGAGATGTAATTAGTTAAGGTTCATTACTGATCGAGGCTTCATGACCCATTGACTGGTATCCTTATAAGGAGAGCGCACAGAGTCGGACAGAGACATTGGTTAAGGCCCCACGAGGACGCAGAGACCGGAGAGGTCTCCCCCAAGCCAAGGAGCTCCAGGAGCCTCAAGAACAGGAAGAAGCAAGGACTGAGTCTCCCGTCGGGTCCTTCAAGGGAGGGGGCCCTGCTAACACCTCACTTTCAGACTTCCAGCCTCCATAACTCAGAGAGAGTGAATTCCTGCTGTAAGTCATCAAGTGAGTGGTAATCTGTTATGGCGGCCAGAAGAAATGAACACACGCTGTAATTTGTGCCTTGACCCTGAGCACCCAGCCGTGTCTCTGGGTCTTTCTTCATCTTTGTTGTAGCCACCCCCCCGCCCCCCCTCCAGGCCTAGCACTGTGCCAAACACCTGAAAGACCCCTCAAGCAGGTTCGGTGAACTAGACGGTCATCGCGGCATAGATGGGCCTGGGCCTGCCCCAGCGTCAGGAATGGGAAGGAGATGGGACTTGCTGAATGGATGGGGCAAAACAGGATTCACAAATCGACGTAAAGGGCTAGTTCCTGGCTAGCTGCTTCAAGAACAAGACTCTCCACCCACATATTGTAACTCAGTACCAGCCAAGCAGATGCAACTCTGAGCCAGCTCTCATCCTGCCTCCTGGAAATGAATGGGTCCCTGAGTCTGGGCTGTACCCGTCCTTTATATTTGGGCTGGGCCCTCATTTGTCGCCCCTGCCTCCACGGGCCTACAATCACAGCGCAGGACTTTCATCTAGGCCCTTGCCTCATACTGGAACAGAAACTGGAACAGCCACTGCAAAAACTTCCAAACCAACAGTCCACTTCTCCTCCTCCTCGGGGCCCCTGCTAAATCCCAGTCAAAGTCAAAAACTTTGGAGGCCATGCCAGCCGACTAGCCAGCCAGGAGCCTTGAGGGCATGGGGGGAAGGCCCAAGCTCTGTGGATGCTTTCTCGGGAGGAATTCCAGGGGAGCCCAGAAAACAAAACCAAAAATATTGTAGTGGGAATAACCAAGTAGGAGCCTTCCCCTTGGAGACCCCTAACCAGGGCCGGCCCCGCCTCAGTTTACCTCGATATGTTGTGGGTAAGGACAGATGTTTCCAACTTTCCAACTCCTGGAGCCTTTGTGACCCTTTAAGAAAACACTCCTTTGGGTCACCTTTGAAGCCTAAGGCACATCCCCACCCACAAATATTGCCAAAGATCATTATGGGAAACTGGGTTGTCATTCTTTCCCAAGGTGAACGGACATCTCTTCCGGGTATACCGTCTGCTGGCAGAGGCTCTGGCCTTCCTCACTTCTTTCCCTTTGGGGGACTTCCCCCTCCATATCCAAAGCCACCTAAATCCAGTTGGAAGGGTTCTCAGAAGCAGCCTCTCCTTCTGACACAGGGAGAAGGACAGTGATCTGTGGTTCAGCAAGTTCACCTATCTCACTAGCATCCCTGCAGGCTGTGGCTGGTGCCACTCTCCCCGGCTCGGCTCGGCAGCCCATCCACGACTACCCTGAAGCCCACAGTTTGCACAACGTGCTCAGCAGGCCCCCATTAACTCCCCACTCCACAATACAGGGCCCTCTGTCCCCAAGCCCAGTGGGACCCCAAACACTCCAGGCTCAGGATCATCCCAGAGCCCTCTCCATTGGCCCCAGACGGACTCAGGCAGATTCCAAATTCCCCACCGTGGCAGCAAGTGGAGGTCTCGTTAAAAAGTAGCTTTAGTAATTGGCCAGGCAGTTAAGAGTTATAGAGAGCGCTCTGGTTCATCCTGAGGGCTGATGACTAAACCCAGCATGAATGGCACTGGAAGTTTCACAGGCCCCCATGGATCCCGTTTCTGGAGACCCAGTACCAATTTGAGGCATATTTCTAAATGGCCCTGAGTTTATTCCCCGGAAGAGAATGTCCTTTCCAAGTCAGGAAGGACAGGGTTCCCAGTGCATGAACTTGCAGGGTGTCCCTCGGCGCTATTTTACGAAGCCTCCCCACCCCCAGCCCTTGCCGCCGCCAATGGCATATACTTCTTTAATTTAGGATTGTTTATAGTCAGTCAAGTTTTTCCAGATTGACTAAAAGAGTTCTTGGTAAGCCTACTGCAGCTGGTTACAAAAGCAGTAAAAGAGACCAGGACTTGGGCCAGCTGGAAGAGTCCGGAGAAAGTTTCTGCGGGACGCAGACAGCTAAGGAATGACAATCACACGCGACTGTCCCCAACCCCACATACCCCTACAAGGACACCTCCTGATCCCCCTCCACAAAGGGCTTTGGGGAGCCCTCGGACGGGGCATCACCCCAAGGAAATGAAACTGCTGAGAACAACTCCTACTTCTCCTTTTTCAGTGTGTCCAAGGGTTAAAAACACTTCCGAACGACTCTTCCAACTACAAGGTCAAGCAGCTGTCCAAACCACCCAAGGAGAAGCAGGAGCCAGGGACAGCCGACTCCGGGCGAGCTGGGCCACCGTGGTCCTCCCCTCCCCCACGCTGGCCCGGCAGGGGAAGAGTTAATCGGTCATCGGCTTTGGCTGATAGTTCAGGCTCCAAAGTTCAGTCCCAGTCTGAGCCACCCCGGAGGAATTGTAAATCTCAGGGCAGTATTTAACAAAACAAAAGCAACCTGGAATTACAGGCAGGTTTGCTTTTCTACAGTACATATTTACTTAATCCCCTAGGTATGTGGCTCCCTGTCAGATCAGCTGGCTTCTCCGGCCCTTTCACCCGCAGCGCCCCCCCCCCAACAGTTGAAGTTTCAAACTAATTCCCTGTTTTTGCTCTTCCTTCTCACAGGGCCGGCTGGAGACAGTCTGGCCTGCCAGCCTCCAATCTCTCTCTCCTTTGCTCTAGTCACCGGGTGAGTCAGCCTGGCTTGGGTCAGAGCTGGGTGACAGCCACCTCACCCTCCCCACTCTAAGGCACCAGGTCTGGGAAAACCAGTGGAAGAGATGCTGTAACCACCAAAAACCTAAAGGCAGCCCAGGGGCAGGAGGGCCCTACCCACAGTGCCACCTCCTCCTCTAATGGGGAGGAATCCCCTCTGGGGCTGTATCTGGGGGGAGGAGGCAGGGTTGAAGGTGAGAACAAGGGCTCTTTATCAGCTGCTGGTTACCGCTGTCCCCCTCTTTCTAGATTTCCAAACACCTGGGCGTGGGAGTGCTTGTCAGGCCCGGCTAGACATCCAAGACCACTCCCCCCTTCAAACCCAAACCGAGTATCCTCTCTCTCCGTGCTTCCAGAGCCGCAGCCGCCCAGGTTGGGGCTGGGAAGCGGGTTGCCAAGGAAAATACGAAGCCAGCTAGCAGGCGGCTCCCAGCTCTACCCAGGAGCGCACACACCCTGCACTCACCAGGGTGGTGGCAATGGGGGGAGGGCGAAGGGGGAAAACACACCACCTTCCTTCGGGAGGGAGGAATGTGGGAAATGGGTGGGTCTCCTCGGTTTCGGGGTGGGGGGGTGAACGGCCAGTCGGCCACCGACCCCAAAGGAGCGGACCGGCTCCGGACCTGCCAAAAAAGACAGTCTGGTGCCCGGGAAATTTACAAGGTGAAACCGACTAGCTCAGCACTCGCGGGTGGCGCCGAGAAGTAGGGCGGCCGGCGACTCTCCCGGGTGCGGGTTCGGCCGCGGCAGCAGGTGGGCGTCCCCCGCACCTTCAGCCCCCACCCCCTGGAGTTGCAGTGCCCGGTACCTTTCTGGCGCCGCGTTCTGCGAACTCGCGAGCGAGCTGGCGCCCGATGCCTCTCCCGCCTCCGGTGATGAGGACGTTCTCCCGCGACAGGTCCCGCAGCTTGGCGGGCAGCACCAGTCCGACGGCTGCTTTGGCCACCAGATAGATCATCTGCAGAGGGAACACCACCAACGCGCCCAGCCATTTCCACACCATCCTCCGCGCCGCGGAGCCGGGCAGGGGGGCGAAACTCCCCGGACCGAGCAAAACAGGAATTAAAAAAAAAAAAAAAAAAAGAAAGAAAGAAAGAAAGAAAAGAAAACACCCAAAACAATAATAAACAAACTGAAGGAAGGTGGGGGAGGAGCGAGGCGTCCCACCTGGCCACTCTTGAAATCACCTCGCCCCAAAAGCAAAAAACCGGGGGGGAGAGAGAAAAAAAAAAAAAAAAGGAAAAAAAAGAAAAGAAAAAGATAAATCCTCCTCGAGAGGAGAAAAAGCGTCTGAGAAGGTTGGGACAGTAAGAGGGCTGGAGGGGAAGCCGGAGGTGGAAAGTTCTAACAAGAAGTTTCTTGCCCCAGCAGCCGTTTCGGCTGGGGAATTCTCAGGTAATGTTTACAGGCTGACAGAGGAGTTTAGGCAGGGGGTGGGGGGGAAGGCACCAACCACACGCGCGCACCCTGCTACAGTCCCGCGGTTTCAAAGTGCAAGATTAAAAAAAAAAAAAAAAAAAGGAGCCGTTTCCAAATGTGGGGCCCCCCCCCCCCTTTCCCGGGAAAAAAAAAAAAAAAAGGCGGGGGGGGGGGGGAGTGATTGGAGCTCCCAATTTCAGCCCGCGAAAGTCTCCCGACTCATTGCTATTCTTGGGCTCAGGAAATTGCTTAAACGCGATCTGATTGCCAGCAACGTGCAGGAGAAGTGGGGGGTCCGGGTGTCAGTTTCTTTACGTGCATGGCTCGCCCTCGCGCGCGCTCGCTCGCTCCGGCTCTCGCCCTCCCTCTCCCAGCAGACGCCGGGAGTTGCCGCTCGATCCGGCTCCCTTTCTCTCCCTCGTTAGCATTTATTGCCTTCTTTTTGTCCTTTCCAACTTGGAGAGGGCCCGGGAGCGGAGCGCGTGTGGATCGGACGCCCTCGTCAGCGCCGCCTTATTCATTCGCTCCTGGGGCAGCAGCGGCGCGGAGCGAGAGGGCTGCCCTTTCCTCCACCCCCCCAGACCCCCCCCCCCATTTTTTAATACCCCATTAAGTCTGATTGACAGTTAAAGTTGTTCGGAGGCTTCACTACCGTTCCTCTGAGTGGCTGCCGCGGCCTCCCCTCCCCCTGCGCAGTGCGGGGCGCGCGCGCGGGCGCGCACACGGGCTCGCTCCGACTCGCGCTCTCCCGGGCTGGCTCCCCTCTCTGCAAGCCGGGACTTGCCGGCGGTGTCCCTGAGGGCTCGCAGCAGTAACTCGAACACGCTGGAACCGACTCCTGCGAACCGGCTCCCTCCCCGAGACATTCCTCCTGGCCCGGGCCGCGGTCTCCCCTCCCCGAGCTGGGGGCGCCCGCGGGGCCAGGTGCCGGGTCCTGCGCGCGGGGCAGGCCCGGGGGAGCTCGCGCGCGCTTTGATCCAACCAGGTGGACCCGGGGTTATTTCAGGCTATTTGGTCAGCCCCTGCCTCCAGGTAGGACCGGGAAACCGCTCCCGCCCTTTGCCCAGACGCCTTGTCTTCACTTAGGCTGCACTTTCTTAGTCTTGCCCGAGCCCTTCTTGTGGCTGGGGGCGGGGAACAGCTGGGGAGCCGGATTTTGCTTTGAGAGGCGGGGATGAGGAGGGTTAAAGGAACCTCTGCCCCCAAGGTGCCAATAAAATCCCCATAAGATTAGCTGGGAGCATATTTATTGCTCATCTGGGGTAGAATTACCTTGACTGACAGCAATTTCTTTAATAACAAAAGCCTGTAAACAAGATGTCCTACACGGGAGCCCCCTGTGCTGGGCAGGCGGCGACTTCTGTCTTTGGGTCTCCTTGGGCTGCCCTAGCCTGGCACCCACCTTCTCACCTCCCGCCCTCCCCCGGGGAGAGCGTCTCCTCTGCTGCAGGGTGGGACCCTGCTCTTTAGAGAGGTCTGTCGCAGGAAGTCTGGGAAGTGAATCACACAAAAGCAGCTCCAGTTAGAAGTGCTGATGGGACTTGTCTCCCACTGCCCCTGACGGTTCCCTGGCCAGGAGGCCGAGAGGAGGATGAGCCACGGATCTACTCTGTAATCTGGGGCAGGAGTTCTCCAGCCAGGCTTGTTGGGGCGAGGAAGCCGGGCCTCACCCCCAGACCTTCTGATTCAGCAGGGCTGGGTGCCCTGGAATTAGTAGGTTGTTCAGTGCGCCACCTGGGAGCCCCGCCGAGGTGAGGTGCCGGTGAGGGAGTCACTTTCAGAAAAGCTGATCTGGGGGAGGCGGTGGCTGGGGATGACCTCCCGGCCCACAGCTCTCTAGTTCTGGGGAGAAGTTCTGCAGGCCAGACGAGGATCTTCCTTCCAGGTGAATTGGGAAACTTATCGTCTGCAAGAGTGGGGTTGGACAAGAGCTTTCACACAGAGAGCGTATATTAGGACGTTTAATCCTCCCGTGGACCTTATATTAGTAGCTCCATTTTCTGATTACCCAGCCAGAAACTAGAGGAAGGAGGGATTCAAACATGGACCTGATTTCTCCCCCCACACTACCCTACTCGTGCGCAAGAGGAGGAGAGTGGGAATGAGGCCCCCTCCCGTCTCCATGCAGTCCCCCCAAAAGTGCGACCGAAGAGCGGGCCATTGCCTTCATCTGACTCCTAGGCAGTGGCGAAGGGCAGGGCTCTGTCAAAGTGCCTGTGTCCTCCCACCTTGGAAGTCTCTAAAAATGGAAAAGAAATCCCAACCCGAGAGAGACAGGCCCTTTCCACCCAGCCACGCCTGGTGTCAACCGGCCTGCTAATGAGACGCTGGGGAAATCTGGAGCTGGAACCCTGCACTCCGCCTGTCGTCATCTGTCATCTGTTATCCTCGGAGCCGCCTAGTGGCCCGCTTGCCACACTGCGCCTCTGGGCTGCCCCTGCGTGGCCTCCAGTGTTCCTGCTCACTCACCATCTCTCCTTTTCCTTCCAGATCTTTCTCCTACATCAGAGCAACACCCCAAGCCTAAAAAGGGCTGCGAAAATCATAGCCCCACCTCCACACGTGCCTGCGGCTTGACCCAGGAGACAACCAGCACAGAGATCTTAAGCCACTCATAAACACTGGCATGTTCACCTGTGTCCCCTGGTCCCCAATATGCTACCTGCCCCCATTCTTTTTTTTTTTTTTTTTTTAAGATTTTAAAAAAATTCATTTGAGAGAGAGAGAGCACAAGCAGCAAGGAGGGTCAGAGGGAGAAGCCGACGCCCTGCTCAGGAGGGAGCCTATGCAGGACTCGATCCTGGGACTCCAGAATCATGACCTGAGCCGAAGGCAGTTGCTCAACCAACTGAGCCACCCAGGCGCCCCTACCCGCCCCATTCTGACACCAGCTGGCTGGAGGACCACTGGGTCCTGCTTATGTTTCCCCTGCGCATGTCTTTGGGATGGAAGACGGGCAGAGGGCAGACAGGAGGTTAAGGACCCACATCAGCATCCAGGGTATCAGGCCCTTTTCACACATCCTGATTTCAGAGATGAGGCTGCCTGCCAAGGTGGGTGCCATCCCAGCTGTTTAATGCAGGAGGAAACAGAGACACAGCATATCCAAGTGACCCACGGAAGCCCACAATGGAGGGTCCCCTTCCCTCTTCCAGCCATCAGCTTTGGGCAGAAAGCAGAATTAAAAGGAACAAGTCAGGCAGTCCTAAAAGGAGGTGGGGACTGGCTTCTGGCCTGGAAGCAGACCCCTTTTCCTACTTGTTCTACCTTCAGGACTTGGGTTTTGTGGGCCTGCCATCCCTGTGGGCCTCAGGCTTCTATTATCAGCTGCCCAGATGGGTACGGTCTGTCCCCTCTTGGTGACACCTCCCCCCCACCTGATCCCCAGGAAGGCAAGGTTGAAGGGGCACTGGGCTGGGGGATGTCTGGAGGGTCCCTGTGGCTTAGCTTTAGTGAGAACTGCATGGGACAGGATCCTCCCCTCCCGCCTCCCCCATCCCTTGTCCTTTGCTCTTGGTACCTTTCCTTCCTTAGTTTCCTTGGGGGCAAGGGGTGGGGAACTTAACTCCACGGTAAAGTTTGAAATTTCACATCACAGCCCAGGGAGAGGGCCCCACAGCCAGCCACCGCACCCCCTCCCCACCCAAAAACCATGAAAGGAGTCTTTGTGGGTTTGCTGGAGTGGGGGGTGAGCTGTAGTCTGGAGAACTAACTTTTTCCATGACTCAGCTCTCCTGGCGCAGAGTGGACACAGGAGGTGTGAGGACCCAGCAGGGCATTTCTAGAACTGCCTTCCAGCCCAGAGCCGGCTGGGAGGTCAGGGTTGGAGGTGGGGCCCCCAGGAGAGCCTCCCCTGAAACTAGCAAGGAAATTTGCTGTCCTTGGATGGGTACCAGGCTGTAAATGTGTCCCTCCCCCTTCCCCAACTGGGTCCCCCATTCTTTACTTTACTCTCGCGGCCCCAGTGGAAGCACTCCACTGTTCATGGCATAATGAAGAGGCAGAGAGCTGGAAATATAAATGGGCATCAAGCGTAGCCTTTTATTTATGAGGCTCAGAGAAGTCAAGAAAGTCACCCAAGATCACACATCTCGTAGATGGAGATGGGATTTGAACCCTGGTCGAATGCCGAGTTGCATCTCCTTTATCCCCGGAGGTCTCTCACAACATGTAGGATCACCTGGGGTTCTTGTCAAAATGCAGATTCCCGGGCTTCCAGCCTCGACTGCCAGAACCAGCATCATGGGGTGGGGGCCCACAAGTGTGCGTGCCAGGGGCACCCAATGTTTGAGAACCAACTGTGTGTTCTCAGCACACAGTGCTGTGTCTCCGCGAGGAAAACAAGCTGGGGGAGCAGAGGTGTTTTATACTCGCCCATTCAGTCCATCCAGCGGCCAACCCACTCTGGTGGGCTCCTCTCCCTGGGCTGCCCTGGACCGGCCTGGAGGCATGTGGGGTAGTGAGGGGCGGCCGGTCAGAAAGGAACAGAGCCCAGCAGCTCTGGTTCAAGCCCTGGCTCCGCCAGCCCCTCATGCCCAGCTTCCTCATTGGTAAAGGATGGATAATAATGAAGCTAGATTTAGCTACTTAGAAAATCCCCTACCAGGAGCTCAGTGAGAGCCAGGTCCCGGCTTGTCAGGCCCTTCCCATC